AAAATTTATTTTCGTTATAATTATCTTTCGCAATAAGTTAAAAGCATGAAAAGTTTTGTACACGAATGAAGTCAAAGGGCTAAAGTGATCGTTGATGAATTGAAATGCTCTGCAACCTGATCAACCTTTAATCAAAATATATTGGTGGCCATTACGTCAGAGTAATACAATTGAAGTAAATTCATCATGACGCAACACATTACTTACACGCCGACAACAATGTAAGATTTAATAACGTCGATAAGCTTAGGAAAATTCCACGAGATCTGTGAATTATCCAACGCAATAGGATGAGGAACTGTACAGAATGTAGCTAATTAACTACAATATAATCATTAAAGTACATCATTGAAAGAAATCTCAAGCACGTTCGAATTTATTTTATATTTTAAAATTAATATTTTAAATGAAGAAAAAGCTATATATTAGTTCACTATTTCACACCTTCAAGAGATTCCTCGATATCAGGACCTTAGGATATTCAGTCTTAGGTCAGCTTTAGGATATTCTAAATAAAAGCTACTCCTTTGGATAAATTCGAAAATTAAATTAGATCTCAATGACATGAGAAAATGTTATGTAATAATCGTGCAAACATATTTATTGAGTATCAGAGTTACATGTAAATTCTAAGATATGTTCTCGATCTATTGGACATCCGATATAAAATGAATCTTTTTGCAAGGAAGGTTCCTCTTTTTCATGTAAAATTTCTTCATATAAAAAATTACAACAAATGACAGTTGTTCTTCAACATCAGTTAAATACAACATGATAATTATTCTCGAAATTTTTTTATAAGTGATGTATTTCGTTGTAGCGTATAAGATTTTGATCTGATACCCGACGATCTTAACACATTTTGAATGCGGCTCTGAGGCCAAGTCGAACAATTACATATATGCGTGCTTATCGTGTCAATCGTCCTCGTTACCGGCTACGAAGACGCCGGCGTCTTCGACGCCGCAGTTAATTGGCCCAATGGCTTGCTTGGGTCTGGAGGCGCGTCCAGCATGCTGCCCCGATCCCCCAGAGGGGGTCAACGAGAAGTTGGCACCCATCATGCCTCTTTGTCTCTCTCTCTCTCTCTTCTTTTTCTTACATCCTTTCTAGAATGATTGTCATGAATTAATCGACGAAGCGGCGGCAGACGGCAAAATAACGACGGAAATTTCTTTCTCGTCAATCGAAGTCTTGATTGAGTCGTATTGGTAAACAAATGCTGCCGACTTGGCGAACGACTAACTCAAGAAAACAAGTCTATGCGAAGTTAAAGGCAGGTCGTGGTTTATTTTTTCTTTCTTTCTTTCATTCTTTTTTTTTTTAAGAAATTTATTTATTGAAAAATATTTCTTGTTATTTTTTTATGCAAATATTTACCTTAAATAATTGAAAAAGATTGGAAAAAGATTTATTATTTTGAAGTAATAAATGATCATCTTCTAAATGAATATGACGAATATGATTATAACCGAATACTTTATAAACGAAGATAATGGCATTAGTTGGGATAAGTGTACGCCATTTTATTATGTATTATGTTTTATTATATTTCGATTCCAAAAAAATTCTATTTTATGTCAATGAATGCAAATATTCTTCTATACGCCGAATATTTGCGATCGATATATCGGATTGTTAATAATCATGCGTAATAACTATGTGGTTGAATACGTAGAATTCTTGTGGAATTCTACCGGACACTCTATACAACCACGTTGGCATAAGCAATGTCAGACGATACTCGACATCGCTTTGGCGCAGGTATGGCGAGATTTCTCGGTTGGAATAATTGTATATTTTGTTTCTTGCGATTAAGAAAATTGAAAATATTAAATATTTGCAACTGTCTTCTTAAATAGTATCTTAAATAATATCTTAAATAGTATCTTACGTGTTATATTTTTTTCTATATTACTTTGATCATGAACTCGAAAAAATAAATGTTGTGAATTTTTTATATTTTTCTACATATTTATCTGTTCATTCTGAAAGCAGAACAATGTAACATTTTATGTTATACAGTGCATAAATTATTGATGTTTTACACATTTTCCTTTATCGCGATTGTTTATTTATACATTTTACTTATCATTGAATATTTAGTATAAATAGCACAAAAATAAATATGTGTTTTTATCACAATACGAATAGTCTGCTCTTAATTAGCCATGTTTTATCCCATGTATTAAGTCATGTTTAGGCATATAAAATCACTGATCTCTTTAAATATTTTTCTTTTTAACACCATCATGACGCGTCCCTTTAATTTTAAAGATTTAGATGAATAGCAAAGGGGGTGTCTTTCCCTTGAGTTCTCCAGTATTCTTCCGTTCATCACGGAATGTCTGGCTTGTGCGCGATTACGCTGCGTTTTTGCTGAGCGAGCACGTTTACATCTTATGAAAACGATTTTGATAAGGGATGAACGTGACACCATGCGAAAACCACACATAGATGTAATATATAGCGCCAAATCACGAAGATCAGCACGTAATTATCCGTTAAGCGCGAAACTCACTATTCGAACAACGTGTTGTACTTGTACAATTTTATCCCTTTATTTTCATTTAATGAACCTGCAACGATAAAGAGAAAAAAATTCCAAAAGACTATCGAAAATGAATGTATAACAAAAATTTTTGTTTTCAAATGTTAAAAATCTTTTGTTTTGCAGGATTTTTTCGTAAAAAAGTATATTTAAAAGGATAAAAGACACACACACACACACACACACAGAGAGAGAGAGAGAGAGAGAGAGAGAGAGAGAGAGAGAGAGAGAGAGAGAGAGAGAGAGAGAGAGA